ACCCATCGGTCGATTTTGATGATTGACACCTCTTTTTAACCGTTAGAGCCAATAGAATCGAGGGGAAATTCCTAAAATCCATCTAAACATTACCCATTGGTGAATGAGTGATGCGTAGCCAGAATGCCCAAAACCGGAAGCTGTCATACACTCTCGTAGCTATCATAGCAGCTATATATGAAAACTCCGTTATTGACATAAATATGATGATGGATTATCAGTAATAATTTCAAAGGGACACAGACACATTGGATTAACCTTCAGCAGCGTTGCTATCGTTTTAATGCCATTGAACACAACTTTTGATCAGAAAACAACAAAGGTAAGAAATATTTTGCCGTTTTGGCTCCGTAAAGCTACGCTGTGTGTTGTCTGGTTTCGCATTCGCTGCCAAGTTTTGGTCGCACAGTGATGATACTTATACCTCTAGAATCTGTGGAATCTCAGCTTTCCGATAAGTAATAAGGTATTTATACCGTGAGTTCTGTGCTAAGTGCTTAAGCATTATTTCGCTCAGGGCTAATGCAGAGGTTCGGCGTTAGAGTTGTGTTTTGTTTCGGTAAAAATGGTTAATATTGTGGGGCTTAACTGGTTAAAGAACTATTGTGTAGGAGTTTTGGAGATTGATTGGTAGAAATGTAATATTATTACTCTGTGTATCAAGATTAATAATTGTTGTGTTTTCGTTAGTTTAAAATTAGCCATTCAAATGTACAAAGGGAGTGGAGGGAGTCTGCCATATTGCTCCGCTATGATTTTTACAGTAGCTCAGGAAGATGCTAATCGGCGTAGGTGGTACTACAACTTCTGTGTCAGTCCGTGACGTCATCGAGCCCAAAAAGACTTGTTCCTATTGACTTACACTTGGAGAGAGACCTCTGTAAATCAAAGGATAATTCTTTATCAACAAAATAATCTATGTACGAACACATGTATAGTCCTTATTTAAATCATTAGGATCCATAGTTATTTTCCCTCGTACAACTCTGAAATATGCAACCTCATCGCTAGATGTCACCAAATTCGAAAAAAAACTGCTACTTTGACTAACCGTTTGTCTTTAAATAGGTAGATTTATGATCCCCCAGGTAATCCCCCCCCCCTTCTCCACACAGTGTGGTCGACTACAAACACACAGATGTTACATGTGGGGTGAGTAAGAGGGCGGCCGGCTGTAAAGACCATTTCCTCCTCACCGTCTCACACCAACAACTCCTTTTCTAGTTAGAGTTCCTACACTGACATTCACCACACACACACACCACACACACACACACACACACACACACACACACACACACACACACACACACACACACCACACACACACACCACACACACACACACACACACACACACACACACACACACACACACACACACACACACACACACACACACACACCACACACACACACACACCACACACACACACACACACACACACACACACACACACACACACACACACACACACACACACACACACACACACACACACACACACACACACACACACACACACACACACACACAAAGAGGATTCATGCATGCTCTTGGTCCCTCAACAACTCTTCCTAATTCTCTCTTAGGTCCCTGTGCAGCTATGAAACTTTATATAAGGGAACACTAGCACACGACGCAAGCCCTGCACACACATTACAGTCACATCTGCACTACATAATTTCCACATGATCCTAATTAGATCTGAAGTTTACACGGATAGTTTCATAGCCACAGTCGGCCACTTTGCCTCGGTTCCTATTCTCCAGAGTTTCACAGACGCGCATTCTTCCATTGTGATCCAGCACAATTGGGCTTTCTCTACAAATTGCTAAATTGGTGTAAATGATTATCATGTTAAAGTTGAAACAAAGTCTGGATGCCACAAACTGAACTACAACTATTTTGCTGAAAAGAGGTATTCTTCTGTTTGTGTGTGTGTGTTTCTTGCGATGATGCATTCTCACGGTCACACACACACATCTGAACCGCTCTCTGTTGTGCATTGAAACTGTGCCTCCATAAATTCTATTTTGTTTCTGAGACGTCGTTAAAAAGCATACAATTTCACTCCACGGTTTTTACGATCCGACTTGCTTAATTCAATCAGTGTAATAGAAGTTGGGTCGTGTGGGATTCAACTCTCTACCGTGACACACAAAAACACCACGCAAACACACAGCATTTTATTCAACAGAACACACACACAGCACTCAGTTTCCCCTATATACAAATAGCGGCCGCGCAAAAAACAATTTTCATTGTTTTATTTTTTTATTAAAATAATAATAAGTTTAAAATTTTAGATTTTTGATTGTTTGTTATGTGGATTTGTAGTATTTGTGTTACTGTATGTTCAATAAAGGTGTATTTAGCTAAATCTTGAGACATTGCCACTGTATGTACTGGGCCTCAAGAGCCTTTCTTGTGCTGGCAGACACATAGAAACATATTGGCGGGGCGCACTTCGCACACACTCAAAAATTCCACGCACTCCGCACTCACATTTTGCTGTGCCCGCGTGCCTTAGCACCGCTGCTATGACTCCATCCTAGGGCAGTGTTTCCCCTATATACAAATAGTGGCGGCGCGCCGCTGCTAGGGGGCACCAGCCAGGCTAGGGGGCACCAGCCAGGCTCACATTATGCTTGGCCCACGTGCCTTAGCACCGCTGCTATGACTCCATCCTAGGGGAAACACTGTAGGGGAAACACTGTAGGGGAAACACTGGCACTGACATAGCTCATTACCTGAGGACATTTTAATTTCAGTTAAATGGAACCTATCCTAACTTTCAATGTGTTGTGTGCCCCCTTAAAACAAATCACAGGGTGCAAAATCGTCGTGCATAGTTTAGAGTTGACCTTGGAGAAGTTCAAAAGAGTGTTTTTTTCCCCTAGTTGCCTAGTTGTCTAACACATGTAGTAATTTTGACAATAAAGCTGACTTTTGACTTTTGAAATCGAAATATATTAAGAGGTGGGGGTTAATGCATAGTTAAAAAAAAGATTAAAGAATAAAAGAAAGAACATTTAAAACGAATAACCCTTTTTATCCATTAATCATCTTATGACCCCTAAGTTTTATCATCATATTGTGTTTTATGTCTGACTAAAAGACCAAAACTCAAATGATTTAATATGAAACTGAGAAAAGCCTCACATTCTGGACATATTTCATTGCCATAGCTGTTCAAAACTTAAAAATCTGTATCCGAGGAAGCATCAATTTGAGTTTTCTCTGAAACATGTTTAAATAAATGGGTGAAGTTGATCTGGACACCACTGGTTAAAATATTTGAAAGAGTTGAGGAGGTAGTAGGACATTGTGGAACTGAATACTGAAGGGTTATATCTGTAGTTTTCAATGTCTGGCTGCTATAACAACAACATTAATCTCTATGATATGAGCTCCATGGTTACGAGATTGACTACAGTGAGTTCAAGAGGACGAGCGTCCACCGCTTGAGCAGAGGATCGATCAGACAGTACTAATGGATTAGAAAGGTCCAGCTAGACGCTCTGATATCTGTCAGCTGCTTCCATGTGTCTCCTTAAATAACTAACGTAGTGTAGATCGATATGGGGCGATCAGGCTGACTGAACATTCAACTGGCCAGAGATCAATAACACTTAGCATCCCCTCTTCCAACCCCTAACTAGCTTAATGTGACACAGGAAGACTGATGGAGACAGAATATCAACACACACACACACCTCTCAAAGAGGCTTAGGAAGTGTCAAACAAAAGGGCAGCATCTGCTTCCCTACTCTATAACTGAGCAGGAAAAGGAAAAAAGAAGGAGACCCCTCACACTGACATTTCACATCGATACACAGAACTATAAAAGAGGAGCGGTGAAGATCTCCTCCACTTGACAAACTGACATTCTCTGTAGGAAAATACTCCTGTCTGGCTCTACTGCCAAGAAATCCCTCCAGCCAAACGCTGTCTGCTGCCAAAAGTCACTCAAGCATTTTTCTGCACGGGGCATACACCACGCAGAGTCTCTGCATCAGAAATACTACCCCGCCCGGACCAGTGACCCGCTCACAGTTTCACTGGGTGATGATGATGTCCATACGGGCCCAATTATATGTTTTCCTCCTATTCTACACTACGTTTCCCGAGAAAAAAAAACTGTTGTATCTTGCTAGCAAAATTCCGAAGCCATGCACTTTCACACATTTGGAGAGAGGAGCTGCAAAACACAACCAGAGTCTGGGTTGAGTAGTGAGAGTTTAAGGCCTTGCTCAAGGGAAGAACTGCTGATCTATTCAACTATTAACAACCATTTTTCCAGGCTGGATTAGCAAGCAACCAATTTAACCAATTTGTTACCAATTTAATAACCATTCATAAATACCCCAAAACAAGTGTAATACAACAACTACAATCTAAATGTGTGTAAACAATCTTAATTCTGTTTTGGTCCTGACCAAAATGTGTCCGAGTATCTATAACTGATTTGTAATCTCTTTTACTTCTTTTTTTAATCAGACTTTATTTTAGAGTCTTCTTTTTTTTTTTACAAAAATCATGCACAGATGCTTGTGTTCATGCATCATTTATCATTTGAGAAGTTTGGCTATTTATCTTTTGATAAAACAGATGGTTTTCTGGAAAACTATGTAAACATTAATCAAGGAAAGTTAAAAAGAAAGAAAAGCTTTTAGTAACCTTCAATGAAAGGCTGACAGGTCGCACATAGGGTTCGACAAAAGTTAAGAAATCAGAGACACAAGTTTGTAGTGTAATCTTTGAGGAATGCAGAATTTCGCTGGTCACCGATTGGTCAATTTAAACTTGATCAAAGAGACGTAGTAAACTAAGAGCAGATACACGGATCAAGCAATAACATCAAAGCCAGTAAACACTTGTACGACTGATCAAGTTGCAAATTGGACCAATTCAGAGTCAATACATCTATGGTCACAGTTAAATAGAAACAAAGACAGAAGGAAGGGAAGTGAGGAGGAGGAAGGATTGCGACTCACTGCATCCGTCCTCGTCACTGTGGTCCCCGCAGTCGTTGTCTCCGTCACACTGCCACTGGGCCGGGATGCAGGTACACTCGCCAAACGCACTGACCGCACATGTGAAGTGGCTCCGTCCGCACGAACACTCAGCGCTGCCCTGGACGCCTGCAAACACAGAGGAAGAGAGGGTTTAGCATCTAAGACATAAGAAAAATGCTGCAGGTATTTGCCCACGTAGCTAATTTTCCAATCTTTTGCTTGTCATTTTATGAATTTGAACGTATACAATGTGCAGGTAAACACACCAAGTGACGCTGGTGCTTTCTGTTTTCGGGCCAAACCGCTAAAACCAGCTTAATATTATGCTCCTTTTTAACTACTGCCTAAATACAACTCATTTAACTAGCAAATCACAAGTCTACTCAATGATGAAGTAGTCACAGGAAATGTTATGCAGTGATATGACCATTATTTTTCATAAAAAATTGCTGTTAAAAAAAAAGACAATTGTAATTTATTTGTCATATTCTGACAGCAGATTAGTTTGAAATATTGGGTGGATGAAATTTTAAGGATTGCCCTTTAAGTCTGACACAAGGCAAATAGGCTAGAGTACTACTAAGACAATGCACAACACAACTTCAATCTGAATATCAGGCCGCTTTACTAAGCCATGTTCATATACTGTTTTCTCTCTTAGCATTTAGCTTAATTTTTCTGGTCATGCAGCTCTTTGACAGCGCTCCAACGAGCTGTGTACTGTAAACTACACCCTAATACAATCCATACAGCTACACACACTACGTCACCATGTTGAAATGAGACTTCACAAACCTTCTGAGAGCAATACACATTGTGTAATATTCATCTACGATACAGAACATTTAGATTTCCTGATTAAGTTTCTTTAAGTTTTGGACTGTCAAAACAAGACATAACCCTAACCCTAACCCCCAAGCAGGAATGGACATTTTTAACATGTTCTGACAATTTAGAGATTTATACAGATAAATCCAATAATCTAGAAAATAATCTGCAGATTATCCAATAATGACAATAATCTTTGGTTGCAGCCCTTTTTGTAGCTGCCAATGATTTATTACAGGCCTGATGTGTCATCATTTACTGGACTTGTGCAGTGAAAGCAATGTATACTTGAGGCCCCTCGTCAGTTGTTAAACATATCCGTGTTTGGAGAGCAGTTAGCCAAAGACTCATTTTCATTTCTCTCCTTAGCGGCCAAAGCAGTAAATCCAAAAAAAACAAAGTAATAAGGCAAAGATTGGAGCAAAGTCTTGAGAACAAAGTATACATTCTGATTTAATGTCCAGTTACAGCCCCCTATAGAATGGAGAAAAGGGCTTTACCTGCGCTCTGAACTGAGACTCCAGGGTAGCAGAGACCTCTATTGAATAATTGTTATTAAGAAATAAATTAAACCAATAATGAATAAATATTTATTGTCGCTGAACACACTGCTTACTGGCCCTTTAATAAGGCCTGAATCGCTGACTGTGTGCATATGTGCACAGACAAACACGGTATCCCAAAATACTTAGTCAAACACACACCCAGGGTCTAAACATTCTGTACACTCTGCTCTGATTTCCCACCACAGCTGAGAAAAACACGGAGTCACCACATTTTCAGACGCATCACAGCAAATCCAGGAGAGGAAATAAATAAAGGTTTCCCATTTTGCTCTCCCTTTGATGCTCATTAATAGCCATATGTGTGTGTGTGTGTGTCTATTTTGCTGAAACTGGCTTGCCACAACAAACCCAGAGTTCCTTGGAACGTGTGTGTGTGTGTGTGTGTGTGTGTGTGTGTGTGTGTGTGTGTGTGTGTGTGTGTGTGTGTGTGTGTGTGTGTGTGTGTGTGTGTGGTTCCTGGCTTCCTCACAAAGGCATCAGTCAACCCAGGAGGGCCTGGCAGAGAGAGCTCAGTAACCTTCAGATCCCTCCCACAGCACTAAATTAATGGCCTCTTTCTTTTCATTTCTCTCTCCTTCGCCTCATTCTTGTCTTTCCATCATCCCCTCTTCACACTTCCCTTCAGCTGCCTCTTTCTTTTCTCCTTTTCCCCACGTTTTACTCTGTCACCTCCCATCATTTACAGCACTCTCCCCTTTCGGGAGAAAAACAGGGATGGCGTCACCAAAGTCTTCCTGTTTGTCAAATTGTCCTCAGGCCTGACAGATAGCTTACCTGCCTGTCTTTGATTGCCCTAAAGCCTGAAAATCCCCAACTAAGACTTAAACATGATACTACATAGTACAACAGAGATTGTATTGCAGTGTTGAGGGTTGTTCTGGATTTGGAGCTGTGAGCGTTTTTCTTTTATATATGTGTGCGTGTGCGTGTGCGTGTGCACTGAGCTAAATTAGAGTCTTTGAGCTGGAGCAGAAGTTGTGTCAACATAAAGCCACATCACAGGCCATGCATTTGTCAAACATGCTTTAAAAAGCTCCAGCCAGAGCCAAAGAAACCATCATAAGCACTGTACTGCACATGTATGCCGTGGAACTGATAAAAGGAATAGGCGATATGACAATATATACGGCAAGATACATGTCAACAAGTAGAGTTTTGATGTACTCTGGCTGAGTGCAAGACTCTAATATGACTAGTTGCATTAGATTGTGGGCAGGGGGCACAAATCTAAAAGCAAGACTGTTATTGTGTCTATCAATTGCTTTCCAGAAAATGTTAAAGTCTACCATTTCTTTGCAATACAAGACACATTACATTGATATGACAGAAGATTTTATAAATGTTTGTAATAGGACTTGTTGAGTCTTTCAGTATGTTCTCGGAGAGTTACACTCGGTGCCAGAAAACAATGCAAATATTCATAGTAGTGTTACCCTACCTCCAAAACTTGCTCAAATATCCTACTGTTATCTAGTGAGAATGATCCTGGCGCGTGAAAAGTTATGTATGAGTGTGTGTCCCAACCAGCATATCTATTTTTTATTTTTACACTGAGAGCATGAACCTACTGAAGAACGAGATAAACATCGCCACTCACTATAAAGCTGAAGGCAAACAAACACACACACATTGCAGTCAGCATGGCAGCCCTGAGCTTTCAAGAGCGCCAGCTTGACAAGCCTCTGATGCGTCTCACAGATAGCAGATCACATGCTGGGCTGTTTTGAATTGACGGTGGATCCCTTTGAGCTGTAAATGCAAGTTTACTTGACTTGACTGAACACAAGCAGTACAGGGATACAGAGCTGGGATCGAACAGTAAAGCCGTTGTGAACTTCTCTGCTGTTATCAGGCTTCTCCCAGCTGACTTTCCAAATAAAAGCCTTCCAGCAAAGAGGATGTATTGTTATTATGCGACAGGAACTGTCTAGGAACTGATTGGTGTTAACCAATGATATATGTTGGTCTAAATCTATAAGTAGAAATGTTCAAGCCACAAATGTAATCACTGGACCAGTTTGACAATTACCTAGGCCCTTTCTCATTTGTCTATGCATACATACACACACTGTACCACACGCACCTACACAGTGTACAACACGCACCTACTGTACAGCTCCTAAAGCATAATATATATCAGGATACAGCCGTTGTGTATTTTATTATGTGAAGCACTAAATGGTTTTAGAAAGATATCGACTCTTTGTTTGTAGATATCTAGTAAACTATAGCATACAAATAAAGAGAGTAATGTAGGTCTGTTATACTGAGTGATATATATTATACACACTGCTCTGCTTTCTGCACAGACCTCACAGCTGTTCTCACTGTAAACATTGCGTCGCGATGAAAGCAGTTAATAAAATAATATCCAGGGGATGCATGCAGAGCTGTCATTGGCTGAGATAAGTGCGGCCGTGCATCACGACTCTTTGAAACATCACTGTTGCCGGAAATACATCCACGAAGGAGCCGTGGAGGACCGTGGAGGACCCATCAGTGTATCCTCGATTATAGCTCCTCCAGAGAGCCTCCTCGATGCTCGATCCTCGGTCCTCGAAGTGCGAAATGAGATGTCCTTCAACATGGCGCGCTGAAATCCATTTCCCGGTCACTACCGGAGGACCGAGGATTCGAGGAGTCGAGGAGGGGAAATTAGTGAAATGAGAAAGGGCCCTAGTCTCACTAACTCTGCATTTAGAGCCTGTGCTATTGTCAGGATATAAATGTATATAAACACAAAGAGAGGGATGTCATTACAGTATGGTGAGTCAGCGACCTTCTACAAATATTCATAAGGTAACACTACACTACTATTCTGAAAGTTGTTTAAAAAAAGAAGAAAAACACAAAAGACATCAACTATGGAGTGTTTGCTGCAAAACATCACAGTTGTATAATTGATGACTAAACATATTTAGTTCAAATCCAACCTTTAGACATCTACTCAATTCATTAAGAACAGGTACATAAACAAAGATGAACAGCAGCTGTTGTCTATTATCACCCTGCCAAAAAAAGGTTACATTTATAACAATTTGATAGTTAAAAACAATTCAGTTAGTCTAAATAAAGTTTTGCGGAACCTTTTGTCTCAAGGGCTGCCTTACTTTTTCAGTATGTGCCAAAACCCAGCTAAGGATAAAACCTATTATGTGACAGCCACAACATATTTTCTACACTCTAAAAAACGGTTCATGGGGTTAGTAGATTCCACCAAAAGAAAAAAAAGTTTTCAACATATTACAACTCATTTTAATAAGTCGGTCAAACTGAAAAAGAACAAAAAAAATGTTGCTTACAAATGTAATGATTTTTGAAAAAATATGTCTGCGTTCACGCAACTATAGGAATATACTAAGTTAGAGTCAACTCATATCTATTCAGTTTCAACGGTAAAGTTTCAAAACTGAGCACACGCTTGGACTTGCCTGGACTTTGCTAGACCGCATGTTGAGTTGGAGCAATCTGCATTCATCCTGGAAGCAGAACACTTGATAGCAGTGGAACAACAGGATTTTAACCTAATAATCTATCAAGTTACCTGGTAAATAGCCATTTTTGTTCAGCTTAATTTACCATAGCTGCTTACTGCATATACAGTGTAACACAAGCTGTAAGGTAGTCATTAGCTACGTGTTTTAAGCTATACTGTAGCATGCATAGTATACTGATTAGATAGCTGTTTGTATCCTCCTGTATCCTTTGTTTCACAGTTACAGTCAAAGTTCA